CTGGCTGGTGAGTCTGGGGACTCACTTTTCATTTCGTCTCGATCACGGAATCAATTCTTTGAGAACAGGGAACTGTGCCTCATTTGCAATGAAGTGTGTGATGTCCAGGAATCCGAAGGAACCTTGATGAACCTTGATTGACCCAGTTGAGGCTTTCCCGCCTTTCCCCAACATCCCAACTCAGGTGCTCCTTTGGTGGGGGCGAGTGGAGAGACGCAGCGGCCTCTTTACTGAACAAGTTGCAGTCTTCAACCTCTACCACTCCTCATTAGAGTTGGTATCATGTGAAAGATCTCAGTCCTGGCGATTGCTCTGTTCTTCCAATCCCTGTTCTCCACCATCTCCACCCAATCTAAGGAAGCGGACGAGGTCTTGGCCAATGCTGAAGGGAGATGGTTCTCCTTCACAGTTTCCGCTGCAGAGACTTTCTTTGTTCTGGAGCGGAAGGATCTCGCCAACCATTTGGCCAAGCTGGAATGTGTAGACACCGCAGTGACCCTACAGAGCTTGATCTGTGATCTACAGGACGCTGGAGAGGTTCCTTTGTCAGATTTACTATGAACTTCACTTTGTTATATATGACACCATGAATTCACTCATTCCGATACCGCCGATACCCCTTACTTAGATCAAAAGCCTGCTTGATTGTGGCTTAGGTGAAGCTTGAGCTATCTCACCACAAAGAGGAAAGCGGAACCTTCACATCTTCGAAGCCTTTGGTGTTTTGCTTGGACGAGCCGCCCCAGGACATCATCTCGGTATCTAAAAAGAAAGGCAAGAAGGGAGCCAAAGGGACCCAGCTGACCGCCAAGAACTTTGGTTCTTTTCTTTCAGTCTCGAAATTGAAGACCGCTTCGGACACAGTCAGAATCGCTTGGAGATGCCGGTTTCTTGTATTAACGTCGCACTGTTTCACTGTTTCTATCACTCCACATTACTTCAAACAGCTTCCGGCACCCGATGGGCCGATCGGCCATGTTTTTTGGTAACACATTCCACCCAGCCAAGCGGAGCGAAGGTTGGATAGCAGCAACACGAACGGCGTCAAGGTCATCACCCCCATCCGACCTGTCCTATGCTTGGCGTCACAGGTCGATGTGAATGAAGGTGTCATTCGCTTGGTGTAGGTAGATTGAAGAGTTTGGGTCACCCTATCTCTGTCTCAAGAGTTTTGGTCATTCATGATTAAATCCCAGAAACTGTATAAATTGGAATTCCATGTTTGTGGGAAAGAGGGGGTGGTCCGATGAATCTTGATTTTGACAAGACTGGGAATCACTCAACCTGAGTGTAGTGCCTAGTCTCCCATGAACACGATCAGCTTGATGGAGCTTAGTCATGCATACGTCATCGTAAGTAAGAACTGACAACCGGTTGAATCACTCTCTCCTGCACCGTGATGTCGATCTTGCATCCTTCAGACCGAGCTCCTGGCAAGTTCAGTAGCAGCGAATGATTTGAACCCTTGCGAGGGTCAGGTGGAGAAACACAAAACGCCATGCACTCCCGGTGTACACTCATAGTCAATGTTCTTTCTTTAGCTTTCACTATAACTATGACCCTAATCAAGTCTTGCTGAACACATACTGATGACTTAGCAGCTACATGCGCTCCTTGCCTTTTTCAGGCATTTTGCTCAGTTAGCCGTGAAAGAAAGGATTTTGCAATTGTGGGGCCATGGCAAATAGGTCCCATGACAATGAGAACAGTGATGCTGAGTCCGTTCAAGAAGTGCCGTTGACCTCGACTTTTCGATCACCGGTCCTTTGCCAAGAATTTAGTTGAACCACGTTTTTTTTGCAAGTGTCTAAACGTAACTTCACACTTCGCAATCCCAAGTCGTGTTGTCAAAAGAAGTGCTATCAGTTTGCAATCCGTTTATTTGGACTCAGGATTTTGCGAAAACATCCATCATAAACAACGCTGTACTGGTTGAGGCTTTCAATATGCAGCGGATGATGTCTTCCGCCAATTTGGACACTCCACATCGCCCGCCCTCTTCCCAGCCACCTGTCTCTGCTTCGCGCAGCAGCTTTGTGCCCCTGGGAGGCGTGGATAGATCAGGGTTGCACAAATGATGATGGTTCTTTCCCGGGAGGTCCAAAGGCCAGTGGCAGTCATCATGCTCTACCTGGCCGCGTTGCAGCCTCTGAGTCATCATCTGCCAATGGTGGGGGTGCTGCACAGGTCATGAAAAAACCATCCAAATCAGCCAAACGAAAAGCCAACCAGAATAAGGATGATCAAGAGGAAGGGGAATCTGAGCCTGAGCCACTGGGGGGGTCATGATGATGATCAGGATGACAATGGTTCTGATGGCGATGGTGGTAGTAGGGGAGATGATCATGTCCCAAAGGACTTGAAATCCTCGAAATCCTACAAGAAACCTGCTACAGCTTCCAAAGCTGCAGCGAAGAGAAAGCCATCTACCCGCAGTAAGAAGAAGGCAAAGGACTGATTGAGTTGCCATCAACCACTTATGAATAATGGCCGTCAGTTTGTGCGCTGTAATTAACCAAAACTGATTGCGTGAGGGATCACCTGTTCTAAGCACTGATCCAGGAAGACCAGCAAGAAGGTGAACAAGCACAGAACGTCATACAAACACCTGCTAAGATGTTTCTTGGCGTGAACCGCATTATCATGACTGGCTTATGCATATTGTTTTTAGTATTGAATTGTGAATGGCAAAGCTAGCAACCAATGAAATCCACACCTGATGCGCCAAGGCCCAAGTCAGAATCTCTCGATTGGCCAGACAACCAATTGGGATTGCCGACCCCTGAATCGGCCATGAAATCTTTCCAGGAAGCTTGGATGAATTATATGAATTGTAATTCTGATCTTGGCCATATTCCAGCTGACAATTCCTGATGTGTTTCCAGCTCACTGCCGCCTCCCTCGTTTCACTCCCTGGTTTCCCCAACCGCTGAAGGCAGGCCTCGATGACAGATCTGGACTGAATGGCAGCCCATCTGCGCCAAGTGTTCCTGAGACTTGGCCGCCAGATACCCATGACATATATCGAGCCATGCTGGTTTAACTATGAAGGTCAACAACGTGTCAACAACATTTTTGAAATTGAGTGGGGGGGATTGGAAACATTTTCTTCCGTGACCGAGGAGACGCTACCGGATGCTGACACGCAGACTCCGCAAAACATTGCTGAGGCTGGGGTCCAGTATTCACACGTCATGTGTTTTAAAGAAAGGCCACGAGACACTCTTGCCTCTCTTTCTCTCTATGTCTGTCTCTCTCTCTCTCTCTCTCTCTCTCTCTCTCTGTGACCCTCTATCTCTCTTTAAACAAGTTTTGCCTTGCTGACTTTAGAGTCTTTGTCTTCGCCCAGGACCCCTATCAGCCGGTGGAGGAGGAGACTTTGGAACTTCCGGATTCTGAAGCAGCACCTGATGCCTCCGTCAAGTCTGAGGAAGGGTGGGTCACACGAGAACAAATGCAGAAAACCCATGATGCCATTACCGATTGTCTCAGCCTTCTTGAGCCATTCATCCACCCAAACACCACTCATGAAAGCACGCAGGAACCAGCGGCAGAAATTTGTGGGACTTCACAGGGGCCCGCTGGTGCTGAGTACCATCCAGAACACATCGAAGAGAGTGCGCTGGAACCAATAGTTGAAATTGATGAGGCTTCCAGTGGAAATGGTGGCGATGATGAACATCATCCAAGCCAGAATCAGCAACCACCAGTGGCTGAAGCAACCGCTGGAAATGACTCTGACGGACTCTTCCAGGAATCAGCGGCTGAAACTCCTGAGGCTTTGAATGGAACCCCTATGGAAGCTCAGGAAGCCTCTGCTTCCAAGAAAGAGATGGACGCAGCTCAGGAGATCCTGACTGCACCTGTCACTTCAAAGAATTTGGCAAGGAAGTACTCCACTCTGGTGGGAATCCTGAAGGGCTCCACTCCTTGCCCTAGGTTTCAGGCAGGCGAGCTCCCTGAAGAGGCTGATAGGATTGCAAAGATCCTTGAAAAGCGATCCGGCAAGAAGAAGAAGAGGGGGACAGCCTCTAAGGTTAAGGGGAAGAACTGTCAGGTCCTCTCACCTCTCTCCCACAGATTGACGATTTTGAGGGCAGCCAAGAAGGCCTGCGAGCATCGTAAGCATGCCAAGCATTCCAAGCGTGGCAAGGTGGCACCGAAGGCAGTGGAATTTGAACAGTCAAGCGGATCATCCAAGAGAACGGCTGCGCCTAAGGGCAAGCCAAGTGCGAAGGCAATGGCACCCCGTCGACGATCCAATACCTCCACAGCAGCAAAAGCAGCAGCAGCAGCAGATCTAAAACAGGATGAGTTCGAGGATGAGGCCGCAAAGGCAAAGCGCCTGGTGAAGAAAGCTCATTCAGTGATTTGGATGCAGGATATTCTGTTTGCATATTCTTATTATAAATTCTTTGTCTATCCTTTGCTGAGCAAAAAGTGAGTCTCCTTCTCCCACGCTTTCTCACAACCATTTGTTTTTTTTTTTCAACCGGCTTCAGCCACATGTGAGGTCTACTCTACTGCTTGGAAGAAGGCAAAAAAGGATGGCTTGGAGGGTGATGCGATCCGTCACTATGCTAACAAACAGCGTGCCCAGCTACCCGGTGGCGATTTAGTGTGCTTGAGTAGCTCGATGCAAGAGATCTCTCACAGTTTCTCATATCTCATATGTTCATCAGGTTCCGTTCAGCCAATATTTGAGTTCACTGTGAGGTGGATCATGACCACGGCTGACCATGACCATCCTGCTCTTGGGAAGTTTCTGACCGAACGCTAGGGCGGCAGTTTGGGGGTATCAGCTAAACTTGGATGTTGGGCACTGATGCATCCAAGTGTCGCAGGCAAAGACCGCCGCCACCACTTTGGTCAAAAAGATGCAGCGGCCGGCAGCGAGAAGCGAATCAACCCTCATGAATCCTCCTCATACTCTAGACCCAGATACCAATTGGAAAGGACCTAGAAGCAACTGGACTTGAATATATATAGTTGCTTCGCAGGTGTTGTTTTAGCTGCGGCGCAACGGAATGGCTGGGCATTGGCCTTCGCACCTGACCTTCAGGCAGATAAGGCGAGGGCGGATGGAGTGATTTTCATGTGACTATGTGATGTCACAATTGATGGATGTTTCTTCTTTTTTTAAATATACCTGTTGCTGTTTGATTTACATTTTGTTTACATTGCATTGCTTGCATTAGGAATATGGACTCTGCCAAAATACTATTGCAACATGTGCTTCCAGGAAATCGTGCTTGCTGCGGTTGCAAGCAATCCGCTTTCGCTGCAATTTGCATCAGAGGCAGGACGTTCTCCGCTCTTGGCACGATGGGACGAGTTTCTTTTTTCACTCACTGTGACGCATGTGGAGTTTCGGCAGGAGCTGCGGAGTGATCCTCAAGTCGTACTGAAGGCGGTGTCTCTCAAAGGCTGCGCCCTGCGCTTTGCAGCGCCCCACCTCCGCAGAGATAGCAAGGCACTGCGGACAGGGGACCACAGCTGAATGCAGATGGCAGAAATCCCATGTTTCGAGATCACAGGTTTGTGTGTGAGCAGCAACAATAGCAACACCAACGATTTTGCGCCTTGTGGCTTGCAAATTTGAGCTAATCACCGTTTCGCCCAAACAAGTGTCTTTTGAGAGCTTCTGCCAGATTGTCCGCTCTGCGGTGAAGTCCGATGCTGCAGCCATTGAGCTGGCAAGCGGCATCAATTGGCGAAAGTGCGGCGGCTTGGTAGTTCAGGCCGACTTCCGGGAATTACCCTTTTTTTGGTGTCAACAAGCTGATTGTGCCGATGGTGCTTATACATACTACATGGTTTCTAGCTTTAATTGATTCGGAATGGTCGGATTGATATATCGGATTGATGCTTCTCTCTTTTAGTGTAGAATTGTGTAGACGTGTTGACAAACAAGACCAACATGTTGCGAGGAGTATCAAGCTTCATTTAAAGTTATGGATACAATTTTTTCTTGTTTCTAATAGCAAACATTGTTCCTAGTAGCGATGCCAGCAGCCCCTAGTAGCGTCCTTGCTCCTAGTAGCGATGCCAGGAGCCCCGAGTAGCGTCCTTGCTCCTAGTAGCGATGCCAGGAGCCCCTCGCAGCGTCCTTGCTCCTAGTAGCGATGCCAAGAGCCCCTAGCAGCGTTCTTGCTCCTAGTAGCGATGCCAGGAGCCCTATAGTAGCGTGCTTGCTCCTAGTAGCGATGCCAGGAGCCCCTAGTAGCGTGCTTGCTCCTAGTAGCGATGCCAGGAGCCCCTAGTAGCGTCCTTGCTCCTAGTAGCGATGCCAGGAGCCCCGAGTAGCGTCCTTGCTCCTAGTAGCGATGCCAGGAGCCCCTAGTAGCG